TGTGTGAGCCAACCTGATAGCTCTGGTTTGTACAATATCTTCTTCAGAGGGAAGAAGGTGAGTACGACTATAGAGTGACACTAAAAGTACAGCCTGAGCTTCCTGAATGCATGAATGAGTGCGAGGGCCAATTTCTCTAGTTGACTGTACCGTGTTTCTGCATCGAGGAGTGACTTGCTGTCATAGTAGACCGACAGCTGCTTCGCATCCTTTTCCCGAACTAACACTATTGAGATTGCTGTCTCTGAGACCACCAGGTAGGTGTAAAGCTTCTCCCTGTCCACAGGTTTGGAAAGGAGCGGAGGGGAGGTTAGGTACCTTTTTAGCTGTTGCAAGGCTTCATCGCAGGAGGGAGACCACTCGAACTTGTCAAACTTCTTGAGTGCATGGAAGAAAAGGTGGCACTTGTCAGTGGATCTGGAGATGAATCGACTCAAGGCGGCTACTCGTCCTGCAAGGCGCTGGACATCTTGTATGGAAGCTGGAGATGGTATACTGAGGATTGCTCTGATTTGGTCAAGGTCGGCCTTTATCCCTCGCTGAGTTACCATGTAGCCCAAGAATTTACCCCGATAAGACGTCAAATGAGCATTTGGCCGGATTCAACTTCATGTTATACTTCCTTAGGATAGCGAACGCCTGGCTGAGGTGGTCAAGGTGCTGGTTGGCTATCAGGGAGTTGACTAGCATGTCGTCGATGTAAACCTCCATGGTGTCCCCGAGGTATTCGGCAAACATCTTGTTGACTAGCCGCTGATAGGTAGCCCGGGCGTTCTTCAGACCGAATGGCATCACCTTGTAGCAGTAGGTTCCCCTTTCTGTGATGAAGGCTGTCTTCTCTTGGTCGTCCAGGTGCATCAAGATTTTGTTGTAACCTGAAAAAGCATCCATAAAACTAAGGAGCTCATGGCCTATGGTCGCATCAACCATCACGTCGACATGTGGGAGCGGGAAGGAATCCTTAGGGCAAGCTTTGTTTAAGTCGGTGAAGTCGATGCAGACTCTCCACTTTTCGTTCTTTTTCTTTACAACCACGACGTTTGCCAGCCACTCGGGGTAGTGGACCTTTCTAATCATGCCGTTACTTAGTAGCTTTTCAACCTTTTCGTTGACGATCCGGTTGTGCTTTGGGGCGAATTTCCTTCTCCTCTGCTTCACTGGCTGGTGATTTGGATCTACTTTGAGTTGGTGGACCATTGCCTCTAGACTGATTCCTGTCATGTCGGTGTGGGACCAGGCGAAACAGTCTTGATTCTGCCTGAGGAATTCTATCAGCTTCTCATTTGTCTCGGGCCTGAGACAGGAACCTATCTGTGTCTTTACGGGAACCTATCTGTCTTTCTCTCGGGGTCATCCGGGTGTATCTGCACTTCATCCAACTCTTCCATAGATGGTTGATCTAGCTTAGTCGGAGGGGTTGGATGGGACTATAATTGCTATGAAGCGTTACCCGTGCCCTTGAAGGCGTTCTTGTAACAATCTCTGGAAGCTTTCATGTTGCCCTTGATTTCTCGTACTCCACATTTGTTAGGAAACCTGATCGTTTGGTGGAAAGTGGAAGGGACCGCTCTCATGTCATGGATCAAAGGTCGGCCCAAGATGGCGTTGTTTGGTGAAGGGCAGTCGACCACTAGGAAGACAGTTTATTTGTTTACTCCACTAGCATAGATAAGAAGGACGATCTCTCCGATGGCGTACTTCTGCTCAGAACTAAAACCAACTAGTAGGGTCGGCCTTCTGTTGATGTTTTCTTCTTCCAGACCTATAGCCTTCATTGCTGCGAGGAACAGAATGTTTACTGATGACCCCCTGTCTATGAATACCCTCTTGACAAGGATGTTGGCGATCTGGAGAGAGACGACTAGAGCATCATGATGGGGGGCGGCTAGGGTGACTGGCTCGTCGTCTTCAAACTGAATTACTTGATGGGAGTGTGACCAAGAAACTAGGTGGATGGACTGGATCTTATGGTGGCTGCTGGCCTTGGCGTATCATTTGGCTGATGAGTAATTGACCCCGCTGATCTCTGATCCCTCGGAGATGAGTGAGTAAAATCCTTTCGGTGTGGGTTCCCCCGGGGGGAGGGGGGAGATGTTTCTTTAGTGCTTTTCTAGCTAATGGTGTGCTTCCCTTTATCTGTCAGTAGATGTCGGAGTTGTCCCCTCTTTAATAGTGCGACAACCTCCAAACGCAAGGCAATGCAGTTCGGGGTGTTATGTCCATGGCCACTGTGGAATTCGCACCACTTGGTTGTGTCTCTCCTTGCTTCAGCATTGAGCTTGCCTAGCCACTTATCACTAGATCCCATTCCTTTCATGATCGCCATCACTTGGGCTGGTTTGACGCTGAGGTTGTAGTCTGGTATTTTGTATTAGCTCGGTCCAACCTGTCTATTGTCAGTTTTGGGTGGCTGGCGATCATATGGTTTCCTGACTTTGTTCAAGTAACGCGTAGGGGGTTGGTAACGGGGTTCCGTTGGTCTGACCTCTAGCCTCCTATCATTCCACATCGGGTCGTACCTGGCGTGAATTGCCTGATTCATCTCATCTTCCTCCCACCTTATTTGTATCACTGTTCTGGCCAAGGCGTCTTCCATCATGGTGCAACCAAGCTTCGTCAATTCTTTATACAATTCCCCATTCGGGAGAAGGCCTTTTCTGAATGTGTTTACGGCTGTCTCGAGGTTGCAGGAAGGAATGGAAATGTTCTCTTTGTTGAATCTGCTGACGTACTCCCTCAGTAGTTCTCCCCTTTTCTGGTATACACTATAGAGATCAGTCGATAGTTTCTCGAGCTTCTTACTGCTGGCGAACTGCTCTACAAAGGTGTCAGTGAGTTATGCGAATGAGTCGATGGAACCGTTCAGGAGATTTGTGTACCACTGGAGTGCTGGGTTGGCTAAACTTGAACCAAAACTCTTGCACATGCAGGCTTTCCCTCAGCACTCAAGGTATTGAGATAGTGAACATCCGCTGTTTGTACGAGGCTATGTGATCATCCGAGTTGGTTGTGCCGTCATAGGGCTTCATGCTGGGAGTAGTAAACTTGTGGGGCATGTCGGCTAGGGCAATTGCATCCATAAAGGGCGAATCAACGTAGCAGTGAGGCCTACTCTTCTTGGTGAGGATCGGCATTCCTGGTATTCGCCTCATCACTGCCTCTATATCAACCAGTCTCTTAGCCAATATCTATTCCATAGGAGAGGGGGATACCACTAGGTCATCCCGTTTGACTGGGTCGGCCATTGCATTCGCGTTTGACATATTTTGTTGGGTCATTCCACGTGGTGTAGTCTGGTGGATCATTCCTTCGTGTACATCTTGGTAGCCTAGATCGTCGTTCATTCCTTCCGGTGGGATGACTCCTATTGTAACTGATCGAGTGTTTCGCCCTACATGGATGGTCAGGGGGGTTGTTTGGTATTTGTTTGGCCCGTTAGGATGGATGGACTTGAGTGGGATAATTTGGTTTGGGTGGTTGTTCAACCCACGAGAGTGAGTCAAGCCGAATGGTGTTTGTGTAGGGATGGACGACTGAAGGTGAGGTGAGATGGCAAGGATGGGCTGGTCTTGCTGGAACGGGTTTTCTGTCACTTGGGCGTCTTGATCTCGAGGCTGAGATGGATAGGCTGAGTAGGCTTCTATTGGCAGATCTTTTCCTCCCTGAATCAGGACCGAATAGTCAATCACCGACGAACTTAGTTGACGTGACCTTTTATCTGAAGCCGCAGGCCCGTGCTCTGGGGTTCGGAGAGCTTGCATAGATGGAACTGAGGCATGGAACCGATTGGGTGGTACCTAAGAAGGCAGAAGCTCGAGGTCATAAAAATGGCTTACATTTTCTTTCAGAGACTGGTTCTTGGCCCTGATGGAGGCGTTTTCGGTTTGGATGGTAGTGTTCTCAGCTTCCAATGCAGTTACCTTGTCTGAGTTCTATTGCATGAAGGCGGTCAGAGCCTCCAGTTGGCTTCGAGGCCGGGGTTAGCGTTGTCAGAATTGTCAGCCATGGAAAGTTCCTCTACGTAGCAAGATTTGTTCAGCCGGATGATTGCTAGAGGCCCCATGGTGGGCGCCAAACTGTAGACGTAAAAATCTACCTGTACGGAAGGGGGGACTGATCCCGTGAGGTTGAGGCCACTAGCGATCTGTTGTACCTGCACACATAAAGAAACACACATGAAGAGACAGAAAACACGGGGGTGGTGTTTGTCGTAGGCACTCTGACGCTCAAGTCAGCAAGGCTAAAAGGCTGATTTAGTGAGGGCTAGGGAGTAGAGAGGTTACCAGAAGTCTAGTCGGGGACTGTGACTACGGCTATGATGCAAAGTTCTCAAGCTAGAACTCCAGGGTCTGTAGGTGTACTGTAATCTGCCTTGTGAGAGGGCTGGCCTTTGTTTAAATAGTGATTGTCTGGTCTCCCAATCCTGGTGGGATTGGGAGTTCTCGTAGTAATCCGTTCCCTCTCGGTATAAATCCTCTGGTCCCATTATCTTGGCGTGAAGAGGAGTCTAGGTATGACTCTGACACGGACCTTGGAGGAGTTGGGGTTGTAGTGGGCTACTTTACTTGTGCTCGGATAAGAATGTGACCTATGGGTGACCACGGGCTCTGGATTCGTTCATAGATCCAGGAAGTGAACTGGGACTAGGAGGCTTGTGTCTGGACAGTTTGGGCCGACTGTACTTTATATCAAATAGGCCTAATCTAGTGAGTTTTGGATGGGCCGCATCGGGATTGGGCTTGGTCTTTTCCTCATTATTAGACACGTTTTTCGATTTGGGCCGAGGACGATTTTTAGCCCTAACAGTTATGTAACTATTTGATCAAATGAATTTTCTTAAACCCTTTCCTTTTACATAAACCATACCTAAGCTATACCCATTTGTAGGTGGGATTAGTGATAATTTTCAAAAGTTGTGGGCGTTTTTAAATTGAAGAACATTTACGGTATGTATTAAAATTAACCCAAAATAAAATGGAACTCTCTTTAGGGGTCTCTCAAAGACTTAAACCCTCTCCTTGACTGTCACCAAACCCTTGCACCTTCTCCTCGCTCTTTCTCTGCAGATGAAGCTTTTACGTTTCAGTACACTCCTCCATAGCATCAAATCTCATTTGGGTCTCGGAAATGTATCGGCTTTAAGCTCGTACTCAACAAAAATAGCAGCACGAAGCTCGAGAACCTCGAGATGGAAAGACTCCATGAACGCTCTTTACCGTCGGATCTCCCCGATCGGAAGTCCAAGGGTCTCAATCGTTCCAGTGTTGGACCAGTGGGTCGAAGAAGGACGTCCCGTTGACAAAGAACAACTCCATGTCTTCATTAAAGAGTTGCGATCTTACCGACGATTCCATCACGCTCTTGAGGTAGGCATTTTTTTTATATTATTTCATACATTTTAATGTTGCTTTATATACTATTTATTTAAAGAACTATTCATAATGAAAATTGCTCAAAAATTTGGCTCCCGCACATTGAACATTCGCCATTGCCTAGATTAAGAGGGAAAAACTTCTGTGCACTGCATGCTGAGACAACCTTCCAATGAGGAGGTCTACGCATGCTGATGTAGCATGCTTTATTGGCTGGTTTTAACGAAAGACTTTGTTGATGAAGAGAATGGATTGATTGAGCTACTACTGGTCTAAAACCAAGTACTCACCCTTGAAAATTACTGAAATTTATGAAGAGAATTAATCTTTTAGTGTTCTTCTGAATTACGTTTCAAGCTGTTAACTGATAGATGCCATGCTGGTTTGATTTTATTCGTAAGGACACTTACCCTGTCAGAATTTAAAGAAATTCCTTTTTCTTTGATCAATTTAATTGGGAAGTGACAATCTCAGAACCTCGCTAGCGTTCTTTTGTTTGGAGCTTTTTGATCTGCTTTTCTGTAATTAGTTTTCTAGTCTTTAGTTAGGTCTTTTTGTAACTAAATTCTTTTGGAGGTTGAAGGTTTTCTCGTTTAATTTTTATGGGCAGCTATTTTGCTTATATTTATACATTTTGCTCTTTGGTTTTATTTTAAATAATATTTTTTATTCCTATCAATAAAAAATCAAAAGAAACTGCCGTACGATTACTTGTCGGTGATCTTGTAATTTTATCTTTCCAATGTTATATTCTCTGTCTCTTTCTTTCTTTCTGCAGATTTCTATGTGGATGACTGACAAAAGAAACTTGCCACTTACATCTGCTGATGTTGCCATTCGGCTGGATTTGATCTCTAAAGTTCATGGCACAGGACAAGCGGAAAATTATTTCAACAATGTTCCGGAACAATTAAAGGGCCTTTCAGTTTATAGTGCTATGCTTAACTGCTATGCCAGTGTAAAATCTCTTGAAAAAGCAGAGGCCACCATGCAGAAAATGAGGGATTTGGGGTTCGCTCGGACATCATTGGCTTACAATGTTCTGCTTAATCTTTATTATCAGACTGCAAATTACAAGAAACTTGATAGTCTGATGCATGAAATGCAAGAAAAAGGCATTGCACATGATAAATTTACTATGGGTATACGCCTGAGTGCCTTTGGAGCTACCTCTGATGTCGAGGGAATTGATAAGACTCTGGCAGTGATGGAATCAGATCCCAATGTTGTTGTGGACTGGACAGTTTACAATAATGCGGCAACTGGGTATGCAAAAACTGGACACTTGGACAAAGCTTTGGAAATGCTGAAGAAATCTGAGGGACTGATAACGGGTAAAAAGAGCAATAAAGCATATGAGTTTCTTATCACACAATATGCAAAATTTGGGAAGAAAGACGATGTTTTAAGACTTTGGGAACTTTACAAGAAGAACCAAAAGATTTACAATAAAGGCTATATGTGTGTCATACCTTCATTGTTAAAATTCAATGACTTTGAAAGTGCCAAGAAGATATTTGAAGAGTGGGAATCAGTAAATGGATCCTATGATATTCGGATTTTAAACTTAATGATTAGTGCTTACAGCAGAAAAGGGCTTTTGCAGGAGGCAGAAACTCTTATAGATGGGGCAAAATTGAAGGGGGGGAAGCCTAATCAGACGACTTGGCTGCATATGGCAATCGGGTATGTTCAGAATAGTCAAACTCAAAAAGCAGTGGAAGCGATGAAAGAAGCATTAGTGGTTTGTCGAACTGGGTGGAAGCCCAGGAAGAAAATTTTTGCTGCCTGCCTGAAATACTTTAAAGATGAAGGAGATGTAGAGGGAGCAGAGAAATTCATGAAATTACTTAGGAAAAAGGATATTATCTCTGTGGAGCTACAAGATAGGTTGTTGAATTATGTCCAGAATGGGAAATCAAACGTGGATGAACTCGGGTTTTTTGTTGATTGTTTGAGTGAGAATGGAGAATCACATATAGAGCCCGAGTATGATTCCGGTGAATCAGAAAAGGAAGAAGAGACATGTTGAATAAGCTGGACCTAGAAGGCAAATGGAGGAGGAAGGTTTATTTTGTGAAACGCCTTCCATGTTCCGTTTATTGTGATTAGTGGTCTAATATTTTGTTGCCTAGTTTGAGACAATGTAGGTAATTACGGTTCAGGTTTCGTCATCTAGATAGGCAAGGAAGGCCACGAATCATGTGCATTGGCTTTTAGCAATTTTTGGGCACGGGAACGGACCTCGGTTGAGTCCTGAAAAAAAGTATTGATTTGAACATGGACTGAAATTTCTATCAGGACCACACTGCATCAGCAATATATAAAATGTAATACAACATTCTAGCTCAGGTAGAGGCAGTGATTTAAGGTATGTAGATGATGTTCCCATTCAAAATGCTTCAAGCATATTGGTTTAATTGTTTAAATCCATTTCAGTTTGTTTGCTTTAAGTTTTCTGTTTTCAATTGCACTTTCTGATATATTACTTTTGTATCGTAATCGAAACTAGAAATTTTATTCTAGCAATTGCAACTCTTGATTAGAATTCTGGTACTTGGTGTCACAGAAGAGCCTGTTTTTGGTTAAATTCAACAAGGTAGAATTTTGTGTAGGTTAAATTTAAGAATTGCTCAAAAGCGTGCTACTTCTTTTGTTCAATATCTTGCTATGTGCCTCTGTTAGTACAAATATTTATGATTATTTCCAGAGATTTTTTGAATTGAGAAAGAACTTATGAAATGAGTCACATGTTATTAGAGTATGTATCTAATTAAAACTTATATCTTAGTACACTCTTTTAAGTTTCAATTCAACTTTTTTGGATCAATAAAATCAAGACAACTTCTTGTTCTAGTCTATTCAAGTTCAACTATATTTTTTGGATTTTGATTTTGATTGAAATATAAATTTGTCAAAAAAATTTCTTTAATTTAGATTAGTGTGTTAAATATATCTAAATAGTTAGGTGTGTTCATAACCGGTTAATCGATTTTCTAAATCGAACCGGCTTTTCGGTTTAAGAATTTTCTTAAACCGAAATCAAGCTGATTAAAGGGAAAATCGATTTTTCAATTAACCGGAAAACTGGTTAATTGGTTTTGAACTGGTTTTCTCTTTTAACTTATTTTCTATTTTGATTTTTCCCTAATTTAAACCGGTTTTATATTTTATGATTTTTATAATAAACCAGTATTATTGTTTTTATTTTATAATTTATTATTTTTATAATAAACCGGTTTATATATTTTGATTTTATTTTATATTTTATTATTTTTATAATAAACCGGTTTATAAAATTAGTTTTGGTTAACTAATTCCCATAATCTCGTAAACTGGTAATCGAACCGAAAAACCAGTTTTTGTATTTCTTTAAACAGAAACCGAATTTGAAAAACTGGTTCAGTTCGGTTTTTACATTATTTTGAACACTCTTATAAATACTAAATAAACCCCATTCTTATGATAAAATATGATAACAAAAACCTAAAGACTTTAAGCATATATGTTATTGATGAAACTTATTTCATCTTTGATTATTTCAAAATAAAACAAAGATTTATGATGTAGAAAGGAAATATAATTTTTAAATCAATGGCAAAAGATTTTGGGGGTGTTTGTCTAAACTTATAAGCTGGTCAAATGAGCTTATAAGCTTTAAAATTAAGCTGACCTTTTTGTTTATAAATTTTTTAAGCTTGTAAGCAAAAAAATATAAGTTGGGGGGAGGTATTTTTTTTTTTTTGGCTTAGGGGGCGTTTGTCTAAGCTTATAAGCTGGTCAAACTTGCTTATAAGCTCTAAAATTAAGCTGACCTGTTTGTTTATAATTTTTTTGAGCTTATAAGTTGAGCTTATAAGCTAAAAAAAATAAGTTGGGGGGGAGGTACTTTTTTTTTTTGGCTTATAAGCACTTTGCTTATAAGCTAGTTTGACCAAGTATATTACCATATTATCCTTATTTAATTTTAAAATTCCATAGTATGTCATTGTTTAATGTAGTACATTTTTTAGTTATTTTATAATAAAATGTACTTATAAGCCACATTTTACCAAACACGCCAATTACTTATCAGTCACTTATAAGTACTTTAACCAAACACGTAATTGTTTAAAATTTCAAATGCTTATAAGTTAATTTTAGCTTATAAGCAATTATTGCTTATAAGCTAATTTTCATAAGCTTAGACAAACACTCCCTTATAAGCACTCTGTTTATAAGTTAGTTTGACCAAATATATTACCACATTATCCTTGTTTAATTTTCAAATTCCTTAGCATACCCTTATTTAATGTAGTAACTTTTTTAGTCATTTTATAATAAAATATACTTATAAGCCACGTTTTACCAAACACATTAACTACTTATCAATCACTTATAAGTATTTTAACTAAACACGTAATTGCTTAAAATTTAAATGCTTATAAGCTAAAACAAGTGTTTATAAGCTAATTTTCATAAACTCTGACAAACACATCCTTAGTATAGATGAACCGTGTATAAAATACTTTTTTGTATTATTTAGTAATTTTAATTAAGGATAAAACTGTAACTAAGAAGAATATACTAATGGGGTCAACTGAGATAAAAGGTGGGGGCCAACAACATCACTCTTTACTATAATTACTTAAATTAAAAACATCTTTCGTTGTTAAAAAAAGTAAATAAAACGAGCAGAGGATCCAAATCTAAATTTTTTATAATAAGATAATTATTCAGTTAATAAAAGTAATTTTTTTTTTAATTATGATAATATAATAAGAGGAAATTTGTAATCGAGCTTAAACATTGTATTAAAATATGAGGATTAGAACCATAAGGTATGTCAACATCTAGCCAGCATTATCATTTTCTAAAACCTCAGTGGTTGTTGCAAGAGAAAATTCATATTTTATCCCTATGGTTTCAATTAACTCCCGTTTTAGTTCAATCATTGAAAATATTATACGGACTGTTTGGTTTATTATTTATCCATATTCTATCCCTATTTCAAATACAAATGGACGTTTATTTCCTTATTTTCAAAATCCTATCCTAAATTAAAAAACTTTTAAACCTCCTAAGTTTGTTAATTAATAAAAACACTTCTAACAAAACGACTGGAATTGGTCGGTAGTTTGCCGATCTGACATTTTTTGGTCAGATTTAACCGTCGTTGACCATCAACGATGACCATATCTTTGGCTATCACTGACGACTAGATTTGGCCTTTTGCAGTTGTCGATGGCTAGATCTGACTGTATATCCAGCCTTTTCCGGCCAGATCTGTGGTGGATTTGACCGGAAAAGATCAAATCGACACACGACCACCCAGATCTGATCGGTCTACGTCGTAACGCCAGATTCTGACTAGATTTCGACGGTAGCGGTTGAAATCTGGTACTATGGGTGGATGGGGTTGTTTTTCTCATTTTACAAAATTTTTATACATTGGGGCGTTTAATTAAATTAGCAAATCTAGAGATTTTTTTGTTAGTTTTTAAATTTTACCTCGTAATAATTACCAAACTCTACTTACTAATACTGTTTCAAAAATCACATCCAAAATAAAAAACCAAGCTGGCTCATAATTTTGGTCCCTCTTGTTTCAAGTTACTATTGTTTTAATCATTTGACTTAATAAAAGGATAATTGACTGTTAAATTTATATTGAAGTGACAAAAATACCCCTTTTAAAAGAAAAATGGAAAATTACTTACACAAACAACACTAAATTTAAAAAAAACAAAAAAAAAAAAATTACACAGTACAAATTCAAATTAAATAAACACATCATGCACTACAAATTTAATATATTTATTTAATTTTGATTTTCTTACGTGTAACGTGTTTGTTTGTTCAGTAATGTTAGGCTTACCGACTCTGCGACAGATTTTACATACTAACTTGAGTTAAATTTTCAGATTTGGGTTGTTGGGTAGTGAGTCAGTATATAAAAATCAGTATTTGGGTCGGTAAATATAATATTACTCTTGTTTGTTTCAATATATATATATGCAAAGTTGTATTAAAATAGTTTGTATCAAACAGTAATTTGAAACGAAGACAAAAATTATAGTATTTAAACCGATTGGATCAAAACAGTAGTTAACTGAAACCACAGGATAAAAAGGAATTACCTTCACGTTTAAATTTACCCTTAAATCAAGTAGCGTACAATTATTTAAACAAATTACATGGTGGTATAGCAAACTGAACGTCTTCCCGGTTCCTAGAAAACGCAGTTGTGCGAGTGTAAGACATCCTCCATATTCCCACTCGGGTGGGGGCGGCAGGATTTTCAATCTGTCTGGAATTCTCAAAGATTCCGGCGATTTGAAACTTCTTAGCTCAGGCAGAGCTCCTTCCCTTACATTCAACTCCTCAAAACCTTCTCCATAAAGAACTAGAATTTCAAGCCGTGGAAAACCTCCTTTTCTGCAGACCAGATAACTTACAAAATTCATATCGGTGTATAAATAAAGCACTCTGAGGTTTGGCAACTTCTCTAATGCAGGCATGGGATCATCTCTGAGTTGGCAAAGATATAATTTTAGGTATTCAAGATTTGGCAAAAATGCAGGCATGTTTTCTTGTAGGTTCAGTGTCTGCCCTTCTAATGTCAGCTCTACCAGATTTGGGCAGTCAGATAGTGGTCTCAGTGAAGGAATTTCACTCTTTGATATGTGAACCCGTAAAATTTGAAGGCTTTTCAGTTTGGCAATAGAATCAAAATTGAACTCGAATGCTCCTCCACCATAACTTGATATGTGCAGCTCTCGAAGATTAATCAACCCTTCTGGATTAGATTTAATCCAAGTCTCGGCGTCTATGACCTTCAAGGTTTGAAGGTTTTTCATATTGTCCATCCGAAGACTCCCTCGAAATTCTCCGATTAGATGTCTCAGCTCTTGCAGTTTACAAATTTCTATTGTAAGACTTTGGAAAATCGAGAAACCATTCAGAGTTTGTAGGCTCACCAAACTGAGAAAAACTGTAGTAAAATTCCCTTTTATGCCCAAATACTTCAAGTGAATCAACTTGCCAATTTCTTTTGGTATAGTTGTACTCGTGACCCAGAGATGCGAAAGATTCAGAACTCTTAGTAACCTGAAGCTTGAGCACATTGAAAGTAAGCCTTCCCTTGCATTTTCATTATTGATCCTGTCGAACAAAAGGGAGCGCAAGACTTTAGATTGTTGAAGCCGCAAGGAACTTTCAATTCCAGAATAAACAGCTAGTCGTCGTGTCCTGGAATCGTAAGTTGAACCTTTATTTACCTCGTAAATGTGAAAGAGGTTGAGCTCTTCTGCCTTTTCGATAGCTAAATTCCGCAAAAGATCATGGACATGACATGTTAAAATCCTCTCTCTACGCATTTTATTTTTTGAATCAAGCTCCTTCCAATCAACTCATTCAGGTAGTAATAAGCCACATCTTCCATTATTTCTTTATTTTGCGGTATGAAACCCTCGGCCACCCACAGTTGAATTAGTCTACTTACCGGGATTTCATGGTCTTCTGGAAATTGACCCAAGTAGAGAAAGCACGCCTTCAATTGGTAAGGTAGATCATTAAAGCTCAAAGACAATATGTAATTGATTTGATTATCCGAATCACGGTTTAAGTGTAGCCAAATGTAATCACGCACCAAACGCCACTCTTGT